ATTTAGACCAACAATTTCCCAAAGTAGAATGAAAATCGGGAATTTACACTTGGCGGGGTTCCCTTGTCAGACTGTTTTCCCCGTCCACTTTGGCTTACGGGCGCCTTAAGTTGCAGAGTAACAGGCAAAAGTAAATGGGAGGGGACAGTCATCCACAAGGTATTTCAATAGGGCAGACGCACCTTCCTTGACGACAGCCAGACTGGAAAGTGCATCTGGCACGCTGACACCTGCGGCCACGAAGGTAAGCCCCATGACGGTATCAGGGATGCCTAACGTGCTACCTGTATAGCAGAAACCAAGCTGGGCAATGAAACAAATTCTGCGCGGGACGAGGGCCGATCTCTAAACCAGAGAGCGCACGTGACTTTACCTATGACGGTGATCATCCAGACCATGATGTACGAGTAGAATGAGATCCAGATCATGGAGATGACGAAAGTGAAGGGGTACCACTGGCGGTACTGCTCTTTGCGGCAGTCAGGCATGGTCAGGCGGCACATGTAGTGGATGGGGAGCACGGATCCCCAGCGGATTTTCTCCAGCTGCGTCGCATTCGGTGGCATCTCCAACGGCGATACCTCCTCCGCGGGCGGCTCCTTGGGCTTGTAGTACTGCGGGCCTCCCTGCGGGACCGCGGGGGCGCCGGGAGCTGGCACGGGGGCGCCGGGCTGTCCGCCCTCACCTGCGGGAGGGGGGGATGGGCCGTGATCAGAGACCGCGCATTGGGCGACAAGGGCTGTGGACTGGGCTGGAGGACCTCGTACCGTTTGCTTGCAGGTCAGCGTACTGTTGTTGCTGCTGTTGTGCGTTGGGGTTGTTTGGGTCCTCGGGCAGGGTGCGGTAAGTGACCAGGTGCGCCTCCTCGTCAGGGGAGGCGGGCTTGCACGGCAGCGGCAGGGTGTTGGCCCACTTCTCCACCCGGTCGTTGTAGTGCAGGGAGACGCAGTAGGCCACGTACACCAGCAGCATGAAGAAGCTCTCAAACCTGGACGGGGAATTTAAGATTTATTATTTTTATCGGTACAGAGGACGATTTACGACGTAGACGCCCCACGACGCCGGCGAGACCCACGTAGTGAAACTCACCAGGATATCAGGTCGTTGCAAATGACGAACAGCATGACCAGGATGCTGAGCGCGTACCAGAAGCAGTCCCGGCACAGCGGGAACCAGTTGAGCGTGCACACCGTGCCGGCGCACAGAGCGCAGACCTGCGGGCAGCCGTGGACATCGTGACCCTCTTTGTCGTCTTTGTCACACACCGAGCCAACACGTTCCCACGCCCCC